AAAAAAAAAACTCTTAATACTACTGTAACAGAATCAAATTTTTCTCGCTTTAATATTGCCATTATCCAATTATCCAATTGCTGGATTTAAAAGACAAAGAATTATGGAGCTCGAAATTTGAAAGTCTTAGTGCTGATGTTAGAAACACTGGAAAAAAAATGTGAGTTTAGTTCACAGCGTAAGTGGTCTGCTTTGAAAGACCTGCAGAAGGAAAATATGTTGATTTTTAACGCATGAAATAATATTCCTGACTCGGATAATCAACTGAAAATACTAGCGTTTGTTGTTCTTTCCTTATTCGGGTCTACATATTCATGCGAATAATCATTTTCAAGCATGAACCTTATCAAAAGTAAATTGAAAAGTCGTCTTACTGATGAGAACTTGGAATCGTGCTTAAAATTAAAAACGACAAGATACAAACTTGAGATACACAAATTTTCCAAGGAGATACAAGGCCATAGTTCACATGAGTGTTTTTCGTCATTTTCATGATTTAAATTTTTGGATACCTTATCATTTTATTTTTATCAATAAAACAAGTTTTATTCGACATACCTGTATAGTTTAACTAAGAAATTGAAGTATTAAGTTAATTATCGGGAGCATTGTGGAGTGAAGAAAGATGTAGTGTTGAGAATTGAGAAAGGTATGTTAAGATGGTTTGGATATATAGAGAGAATGAACAAATGAGGATACACGAAGCGAGACCAACAGAACTGTCTTGCAGATAACCAAATTTAGATTTCAGGCAAAATATAAGTATAAATTTGATATTTTTATTTGCATGTTTTGGCAAAATATCAAGTAAGAAGTAATAAATTTAATTAACAAATTTTGTTTTGTTAAAAAGAAATCCTCCCCTTTTTCTTGTTCCTGCCCGTAAACTACCTTCTTATTGTGTATTGGCTCGATGTATAATTTGAGAGAACTGTTGTAAAGTATCGTTTATGCAATATGTCTTCTTACGTTGTGGTAGAGTGCTATAAAATTCATGGAAATGAAAAAGATAGTGATAATGTGCTTCATACGTATTTGTCTAAAGGACAATTTGCTTTTGGCACAAAAAAAGTGTCTATTTTGCCAAGGGAAAAAAAAAAAAAAAAAAAAAAGAGCAGAGTACTGTTGAAAGATTATACGAATTAAATTTGAAGAAAATTCATTTTGAAGGGCCCTCCAGCGGCCGAGCGGTAAAGTCGCTGAACACTGGTAGTTCGGTCCGAGGTTCGAATCCCGCGAGCGGGCTGGCTGCATGGGTGTTTTCGTGGTTTTCCCCATGTGTAACGTGTATACGAGCCAGTTGTCCTTAGAAAGTCCTCCACGAAGGCATCCCTCCCCTTAGGCAGATAGCCCTAGTGTGCTTTGCCATAATTAAATACACACATTTTGAAGCCGATTACGAAAATGATGATAGGAATAATAAATCAAACATGAATGATTTAAAATAGAACTTACAAATCTCGATGTAAATATTGCTGAATGCCCTAATTGTAAAAATAAATAAAAATGCATTGATAATTTGTAAAAAACAAAGCGAGCTCAGCATTTTAGGTAATTTATAATCGTGTCTTTTCTAAGTCCTGATTTCTCTTTTACCATGTGATCCCAACGGTTCCGCGGACACATGGATAGTCACGGAAGTAGATACACGAAAATTGAGCACGGTTTCAACTCCATGGAACAAAAGTTGTACATGATTCAACTCCCTACAGTCCGTCTTTCATCACCGCATCATAGGTGTCGTCAAAGTTCGTTCGCTGAACAGCATACACAACACGTTCATACTGCACTAATGGAAACGGCCTTTTAGTTACCAATGATTGACGTGGTTGGAACGGAAAGTATAGATTCAGTCGCCAATAATTAATTGACTTAGCACTTAACATGTTATATAAAAAAGTATCCACTTAACTGGAATGTGTCATTTATGGGGGTTCGACTGTAGAAGGCAATAAACAACATACCTATATAGTAATCCATAGTAAATAAAAACAAAAACTGCAGTCTCAACTTTCGTATTCCAACACAATATCTGCACACAGATTCTTTTAATTACCTATAATAAGGGATAGGTGTTAGACTGGAATCTCAAAAGAGCAAACTGCAATTTTAATTTTATTCGCTTTTTATTATTATTCAGGAGATATGTTTGGCATTGTGCTACCTCACAAAGCAAACTGAAATAGCAAAACCTTACAAAGCAAACTTTGATAAACCTTTTCGACTGAAGAATGTTTACCATTTTTACATATTCACTTTCTCTTTCCTTTTTTGAATTGCGTTATTATTTTCATTTCGAAATAAAAGAGTATTTTTTGCTTGAAATTTTACATTAGAAGACTTTAGTAATTTATTTATTTTTGATGAAACGCAACTAATAACATATTATTCGAAAGCATCCTAGAAACTTAAGTAATAATTTACTTAAATAATGATTGTGTACTTAATTGTGTACAGTACTTAAATAATAATTGTGTAATATGAGTAATTAATTTTATATAGTTTCACGGTATATCAGAATGACTAACAAATTGCAGTTATACTATCTTAATAATAAATTCAGTATCACTTTGAGCAAAGAATATTTTTCTGGTGTTTTTCTTTATTTTAGTAGTGTTATTAGCCTACTCTTTCTATCGGGTTCCTTCGCCAAGTTGAGCATTGCTAATTAAAGTTAATAATCCACGCAAGAAATAGATCACTTAAATCGTGTCTTAATTTCTTCCTTGATCGTTTTTATTAAACTCACACAAGTAGGAAAATCTAAAATTCTTAATCCCTGCTCTAGGAAAGATATGCATTATCTGTGAAGTATGTAAGAGTATATTTCTAATGCTTACATCTTACTGACAGAAATAACTCAAGGAAAAAAAAACTCTCATGTATAATGATATAAAAATAATGCAATATATAGGGTTCCAATCACCTGGAAGATCACGGTAACTCATGAAATGGCAGAAAAATTTAAAATAAAAAAAAAAGGGACAGGGAAAGTCTGCAAAATATAAACGTTTTTCAATAACATCAGAAATTAGAGAAAATCGTATTTTTTTTGGTAATGTAGGGTTCAGATACTTAAAAGAGAACAACGTACCAGCTAACTTGCTACATTTAAGTAACCTGATGGCAACTTCTGTGGATTCTGAAACTGCGCGTTTATTAAATGCTCAAGTTAAGTAGCTACACTGGTGGTTGCAATTGTACCTTACTAAACTACAGATTCGCTCGCTATTTATCTTAAAATAAGTTACATTCTGGTGTATGAGAAAGAAATAATGTACATAAAATAACCTTTTAGTTAAAATAAGCGTTAGTCGTGATAAAAAGCATTTCTTTCTTTCTATTGAAAAAAATTCGAAGATGTCCTTAAAATATTAATTGAAAAGAATAAGTTGTCAACTGTGTGATTTTATTAAGCGTGTTTGATATGAAAGTCGCGTTTTATATTATCCACGTCGCTTTTTTCTAAGTTAAGTAAGTGGCCTTGATTCGTCAAACTGTCAAAACTTTAAATCTTCGTAACATCTGTTAAACTTTAAATCTTTCCCATTTTCTGAAACACTGATGTCCTAGTTATCACTGATACTGACAGATGTCAAATAGTCCCTTCTCTTTTATTTGTGAAAGAAGATTCCAGATTTAGAAATTCCCCGTTTTTTAATTATTATTTTAGGTTGAATTTATGTGTAAAATTGAAGATTAAATTTAATTTTAAGAACATTATCTTATATGTCTTCCTTATCGTTCGGCTGTAAGAGCAGAATTTTTTTTGCTCCAAAGAAGAACGACCTTGTTCTGTCTTTCTAGAAATGCATAAAGGTATTCTGTACAACGAATGTCAAAGTAAAGTTTTCTCATTTTTGAATTCTTCAATAATTTTCAGATCCCGCAACCGATCAACACTGATTTTGTTAAATGTATAATTTATAAATACTTTTGTGTGTGCAAAAATTAAATCAGACATTTTCTTAGCACCGACATTTTTTTTAACATGAAATTTATTTTTCTTCATATTAATCGCTACTGCTTTCTGCCGTGCGATTATTGAATTACCATTGCTGAACATAACATCACCATTGTTTAAGTATACTGAATCTGCCCTTCAGTCCCATTTCACAAGCAAAAATTTAGATTTTATGTCTTGCCCAACTTGTATTTTAGTAATGTAAATCCTGGATCCGACTTATCTTTTGCAAAAATAAATATATTTTTGTAGGGATAGCTTTCAAATCGAAAATCATTTTTGTGCCGCCACCTGCAAATTGCCTGTGTATTTTACTATCGTTTATCCACGTAACAGAGGCACTCCTGGGATAAATCTTACCATCTTATCATAGCAGCTGTTCTTTGTAAAATGAATGAAGATAGGGAAAAGTTATCAGCATTTATATTCTGCTATCTCTATTGCGCTTTTCTCACTTGATGGATTGCAAGTTAGAGAGGATACGAGAATATTTTTAACACTGGCTAAGACGATGATATGTATTAGAAATGTAAATATATCAATTTTTATTTTTACATTTTTATTCTGTCATACTTTAAGAAACTAAATGTCTATATCCTGTGGCATCTTATAAACTTCTGTTTATTTATTACAAGTGCATTTGTTCCTCTTATCTTTATGTCGCGCAGCTTTAGTGTTATTTTAGAGCTACTGTTTTAAGTAAAAAATATGTGAGTTCCATTATTTGTTTAAATCTTTTTATATTTATTTTTACTACGAATTTTATAACATTCTTTTACAATACGAAAAATAATTTTATGTTGCTATGCAAGTTGCATTAAAACTTAACATCTGCTCTCATTCAGAAGACCCAATAAATTAAGCATGCTTATTAAAGCACCATTTGTAACGTAAAACTGAATATGATATATATTGTTTGAAATAAAGTAGATCGGGAAAAAAGCATAATATGTACTTTCATTGATTTATTAATTTATTTAAGGGCATGTTTTTAAATACTTTTTTAGTCACTAATTTGCTTTTGCGTTGGATTTAGCTGATACTCGCCCTGGTTGCATTTATTGTAGCGGGCTACTTTACTGGCACATCAGGATATCGGCATACAGGTGATACACTTGAAAGTGTTGAACTTGAGGCTCCAAAGAAAGGTAAAATTGTTATTTCGAGATTTCATGTTTTGACATTTTGTTGTACACGTAACAGTTTAAAGTTTGATGTTAGATAATCTGATCATGAATTTCAAAATAGAATTATATTTATAAATGACTGCAAGCAGTTCCTTTTGTGTTATAAACTTCATGAATGTGATAACGTATTTGTGAAAGAATGGTATGCCATAACTTATGGGTTATTTGATTAAGGGAAAATAACCAGCATTATCCCTCAAAGGGAGAGGGTATTTTCTTGAGTTCTTCTAAGGAAAGTGGCTACATCATACAAGTGAAAAACTACGTGAAACCCATGTACCCAACCCCATAGTCGTAGCTAGGGTTTTCAGCGCCCAGGGACAACTGAAGATTTCGCGCCCCTACTGCTTGCCAAGGATGGAAAACATTTAATTCTAAAATGCCGTAACATCAGTTTGGCGCCCCTTGGATTCTGCGCCCGGGGACAGATGCCCCCCTCTAGCTACGCCCCTGCCCAGCCCATTCATCGAGATTTGAACAGTGGATGAACCAAGAGTATTTAGTCGTCTGTGTTTGGTAAGTGGTGTATGAGACAGTAGAAGCATATGAGAAAGAGTGTTTTATAAATACTTTTCAAAGGAATTAGTTATTGATACTAAAAATAAATTAACATGTATTTTATAAATAAATATATGCATGTATGTTTACATGAATATATGTTAACGTTAATGTGCACATCACCTACTTAATCTACTAAATGCTTAATTTGTTCTGTTTAAGTGCAGAATCATCTATAAAAAGAGTTTTTCGTACTTTACCTGGGTAACGTGCACATTAACCTATTCCGAATCGTCAAAATGCAAAAATTTCATATTATCTTTACTTCTCTCCTCCCCACGAGTGGCCTAGTGGCTAAGAATGCTGGTAGCTCGACTCGAAATCGAACCAGGCTAACCGGCTGGCTATATAGTTAGTTTTCGTGGTTTTTTCCATGTGTAACGTGATTATCTGCCAGTTCTGTTTAGAAAGTCCTCTACGAAAACATCTCTTCCCTTAGCCAGATAGCAAAACGTGTCCCCTACCATATTCCAATGACCTAATTTTTCTATCCTCGTTTATTTTCTTCTTCCGCTTTCACTTGTGTTGTCAGCATTTGAATTTCGATACCACTTTTTTATAATCTGTTTCATAGCTTGTTGCGAAAGTCAATTGCTTATGTAGTTTTAAGTGTTATCAGGCATTAGATGAATGAAGACTAATGAGGCGTAATTTTATCATGCTTTTTTGAAAATTCGTTTTCTTATTTGTAATAATACTTTTTAACCGTCTAATTGATTCTTTGTAATACTCTTTATTCATTGATACTGTTAAGTTTTCTGTTGACTGATAGATTATATGAGCATCGTTCTTTAGATATCGAAAAACAAATAAATAACATTATTTTCAACAGTTATCAGCACTTTTTTCTTGCAATCCTCTAATTATTATATCAGTACATTTTATTTATAATCTGCTGATAATTATATGAAACTAGCGAAGTACCCGATGTCAGAAAAGTTAGATTGAAAGTAATGTATCTAACAACGCAAGAAATTGATACCGCTGTAATCCTTCTCTAATTATTGATCTTTGATATAACAAAAGGTGTTTTCTTCTGTCATGAATTTGTTTTATGAAAATCCTGACATCATTAATATCCGCTAGCGTATTTCACCTATATTCAATTTTAGTCGATTAAATGTGGCAAAAGATTGATCACAATTGATCAGAAATCAGTAAAACCATTCGAAAAAATAATAGATGTTCTGTGGTCACGTTTAATCGATCATAATCGAAATTAGCTGAAACAATCGATACAAATTCAGCTTTATGTATTGTTGTTTCAAAACAGAAATCGATGAAATGTGTGCTTTTAATTTATGTCCTCCATAACTTTTGATATTAGAATCTTGAGTTGTTTGTTTCAGATTGAGAGCACATTTCTTCAAAATTTTCCTGCCATTATATGCCCTTTCCTTTCTGTATTTGTGCATGCATATAAATTAGATTGATAATGATAGACACGAATTTCACAAATCAAAATCAAAGAAACAGAAGATTTTTAAATTTCTAAAATATTGGCAATATTGTAATTTGAAGAAGAGTGTATCCACTTGGGCAGAGAAAACACAGATAAAATATAGATAAAATATGCGAATGCTAGTGAATGTGCGCTCTGACGGCCTTATGTAACCTTGGCTACCAATTAATTGTCTTGCAATGCTGCAATCCTATTGGCCAGTTCCATAGACTGCCTGTAGCAAGCGAACGATTGATTTTTTTTTTTTTTTTTTTTTTTTTTTTTGGAAAAAAGTGGACGTCGACCTTTCTCAGGACCTAGGTAAACAAAATATATGTAAGTCTCTAATAATCAGACTGGATCGAATGTAAAGTAACAAACAGAGAGTAACAAACACAGCATTTTTTGACGAACACCAAAGACGAACTGAACCATATAAATAATTATGACATCACAGCTTCTTTTTACAACACTACCGCCATCTATTGGCAATCTAAGGATACATAGTCATAAACTTAACATTCCCCTTCCCCATGCATCCGTAAACGAATGCATCAATTTTACTAAACTTCAAGATTATAATGTCTTCCAATTGGTCTTCTAACAACACCCTTATCCAACTGAATCTCACAAGATCTAATTTTACCATCTCTTGCGTGGAATAATTACTTAATCCTTCCTAACTTCCAATTACAGCGTTTCACATTATCTTCTAGTACAATACCATTAATTTTAAGCACGGGAGAAGTCTTTGGAGTTTTTGAAAACGTGACTGATCTTAAATCTAACAAATATTCTTTATAAAACCTTCTCCAGAAATGCTTTAATAATAATTGCCTATGCTTCCATCTTTTAATCAACTGCGATCTTGTAGATTCTAGTTTACATTCAGGTGAAGGTAAAACAGTTATTCTAGATCCAGTTATAAAATGAGATGGTGAAAGAGGATCAGGTTCGTTTGGTTCATTGTACACATAGGTTATAGGTCTAGAATTAATAACAGCTTCAGCTTCAACCAAAACAGTATACAGTTCTTCGTAATATAAAGAAGCTTTACCTAAGATACGTTTTAAACAAGTTTTTACAAATCTTACTAAACGTTCTCAGAATCTTCCCCGCCAAGGAGCACCTTCTACAATAAATTTCCATTCAAACCCATTTTTTCCAAGGAAATTTAGAACCTTTTCATCTTTACAAAATTTATACAAAAATTTTAATTCACGATCAGCAGTGTTAGAAGATTTAGCATTATCAGAATAAATAACTCTACAAATACCCCTACGTGCAAAAAAAACAAAAAAAAAAAAAAAAAAAAAAAAAAAAAAAAAAAAAAAAAAAAAAAAATCTACGTAAGGCTGGAATGAAACACTCTGCACTTAAATTTGATAACAATTCTAAATGGACTCCTCGAGTCATTGCACAGGTAAATAGTGAAATATACACTTTTGTACTATCCCTAAAATACAAAGGGCCAGCGAAATCTATGCCACTTACCTCAAATGGTTGAGCTTTTTCCACTCGGTCAGCTGGAAGAGGAGCCGATATCTCGTGTCCAGCTTTAGCATTATATTTTTTTTTACAAAATGTACTATCATGTAACACAGATTTTACAAAACGTCTAGCTTTTAAAATCCAAAATTTCCCTCTTACTTGCACTAAAGTTTCATTTACACTACTATGAAGTACCTTTTCATGAAAATTCAAAACAATTAAACGAGAAAAATAATTATTTTGTAATATTATAGTGTTGCGTTTTTATCTTCCTTCTGACACCAGTTGTTACGTTATTTTCTTCCTTCACGTTCGTACGGGGTTCGGAGATTTGGAGTGAATAACGACGACACTTGATGAAGTATCGAAACACACTTTATTTAGACAATATTGTCAGGACAGCTCCAAAACACGTTTTACAGTCGTCGATGAACTACTATAAACACGCTGACACGATCAGCGACACAGCCTTCAGGTTATCAGGCTATCACGGTGGGACAGCTTCCTGCAAAGGCACCGGACTCTGCTTTCCGGAGTACAGCTCCCGACTGTGCTTGGTCGTTCTCGGAACTCCACGTACTCTCGAGACTCTCCGCGCTACAACTCTCGATGCACTCGACGACCCACTCGGCACTCGCTGGCCGGCTGTCAACGCGATCGCCTCCGCAGGGATTGACTCACTAGACGAGACACACTCACTCAATGAGAGACGCGCTCACTAACTGACTTCGGACCAGCAGGGTTTATATAGCTTCGGCTTGTCGAGTTCGGCTAAACCGGAAGAATTTCGTTCCAAAAGGTTCTCCATCCCTCCATGGTAAATCGCCAATTTTCTCGCCATATGTGGCAACCCTGCCCTCCTTTGCCATTTTATGGCAACCCTAAAACTGCTTTGCGGGGAAGCCATCTCACCGCGCCTGTACATTTCGTAACACTGCCCCCTCTCAAGGACTGCACGTCCCGGGCATTACAACCCTTGGTCAGAAGCATAATTCGTTACAAACAAAAGGTTCTAAAACAAACAAATAACATAACTAATGAAACAAATATTTACACTATGTAAAAGTTATATACACAAATTAAACCCATAACAATTTCAAATAATAAAAAATTAAAGTTCTGAATGAATTTTTAGTCTCTGTTTTTTCATTAAAATATACCCGGGTCAAATACTTTTGCAGTGCAGTTCTCAGATATATTTACGTTTTGCGTATCACAGTCTGAAGATTCAGTTCTTTCAGGCTTTTCATCCACAGGAAAATCCGAAACAGTTCGTTCACCACTCTGTAGTTCACTCGCAGCATACATACAGTTCACCTCGGTATTTTTAGCAATTGGTATATGCTTATTTTCCTCCGTGTCCTGGGAACTAGCTCCAAATATTGCATCGGAGTCATAATCGGAACCAGATTCTTCACAAACACAAGTATCCAGGTTTAGAATCAAGTCCTTGTTCGCACAATCAGCACTA